CCCCAAAACCCCAAAACCCCAAAACCCCAAAACCCCGTAAATGTTTAAAACAGTTGAAATCAGTTGAGATATAAATAAAACTAAGCAAAAAGCACTTTTATCTAATCGAATAGATGGTCTTACAGAGAGAAGTAATCTTTCCACTATTGATTCCCCTCCAAAGTGGATCTTTATAAATAGATATCAAGCCTTTAATTACCAAATTAGTATATTTTATCTTATTCAAGTGCAATGTTAATTCCTTCTTCTGTAGGCACAATATCAACCTCTTCAGTTTCAATATCTTTCTTTCATATCGGACAAACCTGGGAACGGTTTTCCTTAACACTAGAAGTAACAGTTAAAAAACAGTTATGAACATTAATAAAATTAAACTTTTCAACTACTCCTTAAATATACATATGCAAAAATATTTTATGCACAAACGACTCATAATAAACCAAATTCATTACACTTTGACTAATCCTAAAGCTCAAGGGAGTAATTGAACGGTAAATCTCAATTTTAAAAGAAAAATCCAAATCTTCAAACTTTCGGGCTCGTCATTCAAAATTTTGTCGATAAACTACCAAATTCCATAATTATGCATCCACAGTGACATCTCAGGCAATAACCCAGAATTATGAGGTTTGAAAATTGAAAGAAAATAGGCAACTTCCAGAATTTCAAAAATTACTTACTTAGCCTTATAATACTCAACGATGCATTCAGAGTGGAAAATATGCCCACAAGAACTAATCTTCCTGTGATGGGTCTCAGTCTTGAGGTCAGCCAGACAAATTACTCAGTCTGTCTGGCTAAAGTAGTTCTCCTGCCGATCTAATTTGACAGACGGCATATATTGCTCTATAGGAAAAGTTAGAGAAAGCAGGAAAAACCTCTTAGGATAGCTTTAAAATAGAAGCTCAGATTATGAAGAAACTTATAAATTTATGCCCCTGAAGCGAAGGGTTAGGATATTTATGCTTAAATATATCAATGAGCCCTAAATTAACAGATTCTAATACCTTAGCAGCCGAAATATTACGCCTCGTGCATGTTTCATAAAATTTGGAGAAGGAAATTCTTACTTATCTTATCAGTGTGCTTAGTCTTCTTAATTTTATATATCACAAAGACAATAATGACTCCAAACACTCAAACTACAGTGACGCCTGTAATTATGATGGAGGAAATTTTATCTCTCTTATCCTCTTCTGTGTCTGAATCTTTAGCATTTTCATCAGCCAGATGTCTTCCTAACAAAGTTTTACTTTCTGAAACGAAAATATATTCTTAAAATCTATTCCTTACTATTCACTTCTGGAACTACGGTCTCAGTTTGTTTAAGATCTGAACATGGCTTAATCAATGCCCCGTCACCGATTATTCTTAAAGTTCCAGAACCTAGAATAAAAGTTAAGTCAGAAATTTAGAAAGAATAGGAGTAAACTCAGAATTTGTTAGTGTGTAGTCTTAATGGGGAGATTTTGAACTAACCTACTGGAAGTATCAGGGTGAAGGAGATATCACAGTTCTCCATCTCGTTCGTAAATTCTTAAATTCGGATCATCTTGGAGTATAAAACTTCTATTGCTCATTTGTTCAAAAGCAGAAGGTGAATTCATGTGCCTCTCAAGGTTTCTAGTACGAGAGGTTTGGTTTAATTCAGATCTTAACTGCTCCTAAAAATAGTCATAAATTTGTGAAACTACTATAAAGTTTTAAATTTAGAAATGGTTAAATATGGAAAATAAACCATTTGGCTTACACTGACTTCTCCAAGCTTGGCTCCACTAGCAAAGGAGATTGCAGAAAGTATGGTTAGGAACACCACTAGCCACCTCTTTGGTAGCATATGAGTTATTGGACTAGGTCTTCTTTGCTTGCTTAGTAACTGCACAGTCATTAATAAATAATATCTAATAGTTCAAATTCTTAAATAATATTGGGGTTTTGGGGTTTTGGGGTTTTGGGGTTTTGGGG